CGCCTCTGCGGACTGGCCTGGGGAGCTCGCGCTGCCGCTTGTGACCGTTGGTCCGGTGAGGTGACGGTCACGCGCTTGCTGAGGGACGGAGGGAGGGGCTTGGTCCCGTGCCTAAGGCCGCGGGAGAAGGGGCCGGGTTCGGGCGCGCGGAGCTGACTCCGCACACAGCGGTGCGGGCCCCGCACACAGTCACGGGGAGGAGCCGCTGCCGCCTCACTCCCTGTTTCTCCTGCTTCTGCCCTCAGCCTTACTGGGGCGTCTTGACGTCAACCGGCATGACATGACCCTCGTGTCTCTGCGGGGATCGGCTCGCCCGTCGGCTCCCGTCACAATTCAGGCCACTCACTGCACTTGTGCGTCTCCCCGATGCTCCAGCCGAGGACACCCCTTCCCGCTCCCCGGGCTTTGCCTTTCTGGCCCCCGGCATGTGGCTACCCCGCTCGCTGTGTTATTCCCACCCCTGATGGGTTGCTCAAGGTCACCACCCGCTTGCTATCTCTTCAGAGAAGGGGTAGCAGTGGGCCTGCTCACAACGATCAGTACCACACAGGTCTGCCTACACAAGCCTACTGTATTCTCAAGGGGAAAAGCACGACGGAAGAAAAAAAACATTAAGAACACTAAAAGAACTTACCTGCATGCTCATAAGCTTATCAGAGATCTCGCTACCTTTCATATGGATTCTAGCATGGGCAGCCCCTCAAATCTCCATCCACAGCTCATTCCTTGTGGTTGCAGGTTCATCACAGCTTTTAAGGTGAGAACATGCACTCAGTCCACACTATACATGTTCAGGTCATTTATCTAGAGCAGGCATGTCCAAAGTCCGGCCCGCGGGCCAATTGCGGCCCGTGTTCCGGTTTAATATGGCCCCCCGGGTAATTTGGCAATATCTATCTTTTATGGCCCCCAATGAATCCATATATATTGAGATGAATACATTGTAAAATCTCAGTTAATGTCAGTTGGTCTAAATCAGTTATAAATATATTTGGACACAACATGTATACTTGGTGTTATGTTCCTGTTCATATTTTTTGAACTTAAAAGTTGACAGACAACCTTTATTACCAATAATATGTAATGTACTTTACAATGTTCCTGACATATATTTCAGCTTCCTGGATTTTTTTTTTCATCTGGCCTTCAGATATGAAAGGCAGAGTGATTTAACACCTGTTTAGATTTGTCATCCATGTGACGAAATGAAAAGTATGCCGTTTGCAATAAACTTTGCATAAAATAGTTAATTTGCATTTAATTTTAATGGTTCAAAGAATGTCAGGCAAAATGGTCGGCCCTCACGCATGTTCACTTCATCAAATCTGGCCCTCTTTGAAAAAAGTTTGGACACCCCTGATCTAGAGTTTCCAGAAGCCAGTGATTAGTATACAATGGCTCTCTCTTCACATGGTGTATCTTCAAAAGTTTGACTTTAGGCGGGAAAAATTTGCATCCTCCTCACTAACAAGGTACTTTTTAGGAAATTGACTTCACACATATTGTTCCAAAAGCCCTTGACTTTCCTAATACCTTGCATTCCTCTTGTCATCCTGCTAACAAAGTTCCCTACAACTTCATGTTAGTATATAAGCATTTGCATTTTTAATACAGGGAACTACAAATGCATTATGGTTCTCCAGACATGATATGTGAAGTCTTAAGCAGAAGCTGAAAATAAACTCCTCTAAACACTGTGATATTGAGCAAGAATCTGATCCTTAGCTGAATTTTATAAACTAGTGTGTATACTGTTCCTTTGTAGTTGTGATCCTAAGGTAAGAAAGCACATTATCATGCTACTGAGTGGTCAATAAAAAGATTGGTTCCAGAGTGTTTTCTGTGTTTTGAAACTTATCAATGACTGTTGCAGCTGAGCTAGTACTAAACATAATGTATCTGCAAGGATAGAAAAGGACAGAGTTTAGCACACTTGTGCATATGTACACATAATTTTCCAGAAGATGGCAGCAAAGATTACATTATGTTTTCACATTTTTCAAAAATTATTTTCTGACTTGAAATTTGTTGAACAAGTTCATATAGACAGTAATTTTCTTGCGGAGGTAATGCCTACTCTGATGAATATGTTGCTTTCCACCAACAAAAACAAAACCTTACTTTCATCTTAAAGTCAGTATAATGTTCAGATTAAAGTTGCAAAATCATCTCAGAGTAAACAGAATAAAATCATTTCTCTCACTTAACTGTGTCTTCCCACCTGTTCTTTTGTTGATCCCTGCCAGTGTTGAGTCAGCACGGCAATGCTTCTTAGATCCTGATATTGTTTTGGAGTCAGTGGGACTGCAGGGCACTCAGGATCTCATGAGATCAGACCCAGGATAACTTTGAGGAGGAGGAATTGGGTTGGTTTAGTTTAGAAAAGAGAAGATTGAGGGGGGACATGATAGCAGTTTTCAGGTATCTAAAAGGGTGTCATGAGGAGGGAGAAAACTTGTTCATCTTGGCCTCTGGGGATAGAACAAGAAGCAATGGACTTAAACTGCAGCAAAGGAGGTTTAGGTTGGACATTAGGAAAAAGTTCCTAACTGTTAGGGTAGTCAAACACTGGAATAAAATTGCCCAGGGAGGTTGTGGAATCTCCATCTCTGGAGATATTTAAGAGTAGGTTAGATAAATGTTTATCAGGGATGGTCTAGACAGTATTTGGTCCTGCCATGAAGGCAGGGGACTGGACTGGATGACCTCTTGAGGTCCCTTCCAGTTCTAGTATTCTATGATTCTATGAATCTCTGTTAATTGATTTAGCATGGAGGGGAACAAACAGATAAAGATTAAAAGTGACAAGATTAAAAAGAGGGACAGGAGAAAATGGCAGGGGGGGGGGAGACTGTTCAGTCTCAGCCAGCTATTTGTGCAGAAGGAAATTATATATAGAAAAACATGAGGCAAGGCAGAAGAAATAGTCACTCAGTTACATTATACCTAATTATGAAAGCCTGTACAGCAGAACCTCAGAGTTACAAACTCTAGAGTTACGACCTGACCAAGCAACCACACACCTCATTTGGAACCAGAGACAAAAGCAAATAAAGTAAAGTACTGCGTTAAAACTAAACTACGTTTAAAAAAGGGGGGGAGCAGCATTTTTCTCCTATATTGTAAAATTTCAAAGCTGAATTAAGTCAATGTTCAGTTAGTTGTAAGCTTTTTAAAGAACAGCCATAAAGGTTTATTCAGTTGTGAAATTTCAAAGTTACAAACAAACCTCAATTTTGTAAGTGTTCATAAATCTGAGGTTCTACTGTATAAGTCCCCATGAAAATTTGAGCTGAGTCAGTTGTCCTGCATTTTGCTTCAACTACCCCACACTAACACGGCTACATTTCTATCATTGTCCTTTATGGTAACTGTTAGAGTAGATCAGTGGGGGAGGAGGGGTTTAAATAAGGGCCGGCGTTACTAATTATGGTGTTCTAAATTGTCAAGAGGGGCAGTTTGGGAATTAGTCACTGGGGGTATGTCTGCACTACAGCGCTAATTCGAACTAACTTAGTTCGAATTAGTTAATTCGAACTAAGCTAATTCAAACTAACGCGTCTAGAACTAAAAACTAGTTCGAAATAGCGTTTTGCTAATTCGAACTAGCATGTCCACAATAAGTGGACCCTGAACCGGGCTTAAGGATGGCCGGAAGCAGTGCCGGCAGGGCATCAGAGGAGGACTTAGAGCGTGGAGATGCTGTCTCAGGCTAGCCGAGGGCTGCGCTTAAAGGGACCCGACCCCCACCCCGGACAGACAGTTCTCAGGGGTGCCCTGCTTGCAAACCAGTCCTGGCTTGGAGTGCCCGGAGTGCCCACACTGGGCACAACACAGCACTTGGCCATCAGACCGGCTGCACTTGCCGCAGGCTGCCATCTGGGGAGAGGGGGCAATTGGGGGGCTGCAGGAGAGCTTCCACCCCCAGAAGCCCGCAGAGCCAGCCCAGTCCTCCCCATCAGGGGCTCGTACCCCATTCCTCCCTCACCTCCTTCCACTTACCCTTCCCTAGCCCCCCTTCCTGATGTACAAAATAAAGGACAATTGTGTTCAAAAATAGAATCTGTCTTTATTGAACAAAATTGGGGGAGACTGGGAAAAGGAGGTAGGAAAGGGGAAGAGAAAGGCTGGGAGAGGGGAGGGCAACTAACATGATCAGGGGTTGGGAACAGGTCCCAGATGAAGAGAGGCTACAGAGACTGGGACTGTTCAGCTTAGAAAAGAGGAGACGGAGGGGGGACAGGATAGAGGTCTCTAAAAGCAGGGGTTGGGTGGAGAGGGTGCATTCAGAAAAGTTCTTCCTGAGTTCCCATAAAGAAGGACTAGAGGACACCAAAGGAAAGGAATGGGTAGCAGGCTTCAAACTAGTAACAGAAAGTTCTTCTTCACAAAGCAAAGAGTCAACCTGT